GGTACGTACTACTATATATATATATATATATATATATATATATATATATTATAATATACATCGTCACGTACTTCCGCGTCGCTCTCCCACAGGTTGATGCAGATCGGTGAGGAGTTCTGTGGCAGCGATTCTGAATTCCTGCAGGAGTCCATTCGCAAGCAGAGCGTCAACTACTTCCGCACCTATCACAGGTACGTCTCACAGGCATGTATTGTATGTATGTATGTATTGTATGTATGTGCGTGCGTGCGTGCGTGCGTGCGTGCGTGCGTGCGTGCGTGCGTGCGTGCGTGCGTGCGTGCGTGCATGCATTGCATTGCATTGCATTGCATTGTATTGTATGACTTGCGTGTCGGGCGGTCATTCCCGCTTATCACGCAGTAATTGCGTAATCACGTTGACCTATACACTTGGCATGAATGACAGGCAGCTCTAACCAATCAGTGTTGCGGTAGTACTTTCTAAAAACAGTGCTTAGCAGCAAAGTTGCACAGAGTCAACAGTTTTGTGTGCTCACACGTGTTAAACCACCTACAGACCGTCCTTGCGTGACCCACCCTAGCAACAATGTCCAAGTAAGAAGGTGCGAGGGTATATCGTTCTGCCGAATACGTCGATTTCTTTCCGAATGGCGGAGGGTTGGTGAGATGTGATGTTGACGTGACGAGTTGCGGGGATGCGCGATGTTGTTGCAGGGGACGCATGGAGGAGCTGCGAATGTTCGTGGAGAACGAGGGATGGGAGCCGTGCCCGGTCAAGGCCAGCTTCTCCATACTACACCTGCAGGAGTTCAAGTTCCTTCGCGCATCACCGCTCCTGCAGCAGCAGCAGCAGCAGCAGCAGGGCAGTGTCGCCAGCGTGCAAGGTACGTGATGCATCCATGCAGTGTGAGACGATCGTTGCAAGAAGGCGAGACTTAAGTATGAACGACAAAATCTATAAGTAAAAATCGATAAAAATCATGAAAAATGAGTAAATAAAAAATATAAAGTACTAAAACAAAAAAGCGGAATGCAGTTTAGCAATGGTATTGATAGCGTTCGATTTCACCGGGTTTTTCACACGGGCAGCTTTCCCGATCACACTTCTGCGAGGATGATCATGACTGATATTGCTGCTTAATAATAATAATAATAATAATAATAAATTTTTACTTTTAATTGATCTCCAGGAGTCAATCATCCGAGGTACTGTCATCAATGGTCCAGACTGTAGGCAGTTCTCAACTACAACGACAAACATACACGACCGATTGAAAGATCACACACAGGGTTGTCACGCACGCGAGCACGCACGCACACGCACGGCACGGCCACGCACGCACGCACTGCACGCCACGCACGCACGCAGCGCACGCACGCACATACACACGCACGCACACACACACACATATATTTGTCATATATTAACCCCTAATATATCTTTATATATATATACACACACACATACACATCGCTTGGCTCCATCTGTGGTTATAACCATAAACACATTCTCTGTGTGTTGCTACAATTATGACTACCCGTGTGGTACTGCCACCTGAGGGGTAATTGTAAACACAGGCTTATCATGTGATGCAATCGAGCTCTACAGTTAGTCAACCCAGAGAAAAGACATCAGAAGCAGAAAGACACAAGAACATCCCGCGATGAATCACAGCTTCACTGCACATGGCTTCAGTACAGATCTTGCTCCATGATGTCCTCGCCCGCATCCTCGTCCGCCTCGACGCTGAACGGGTTGCCGGCTTCGAGATATCGCAGGAAGAATCCATCCTGCTGATGCTCTGCTGCCGCGTCCGCACGCTGCTTCACGCGGCGACGACTCACGACATTGTGCTGATCGCACTGCCCTCTGTAAGGAAACCCACCAAAAAC